GGTTCAAACCCACCAGTCACTCCTCGACAACCTATTGCTATGAGCCAAAGCTGACTGGATGGCACTTAACAATAACACCATTATGAATAATAGCAAACAGTTATATAACAGCTCCACTACTCATCTCTCAGTTTGTTGATCCATGGTGACTCTGAAGCTGGGCTACAAGTATTTCAAATACCAGTAGAGTTTCCCATGGTGGAGAGTTTCAGTGGAACTTCCAGACTAGAGTAGAAAGAAAGTCCTAGCAACCGACTTCTGAAAACTAGCCATTGAAAATCCAATGGATCAAAACAGACTATTTCTCCATATAATATTGGAAGACGAGTCCCCAAGATTGGCAGGCAAATCCAAATGCACACTGGCCTCAACATTGGACTCGAACACACCAATCATCATAAAGATGACTTGCAGCCAATTCAATGGCAACTAACAATATATGTTGTTTTGGTTAAGTGTTGTCAAGTTGGTTCTAACTCATAGTGACCTTGTACAGGGTTTCCAAGGAGCAGCTGGTGGATTTGAACCACCAACCTTGTGGTTAGCAGTACAGTGCTAATGCTACACCAGAACTCCTAACAACACATAGCAGTTGTTGTATACCAGGCAGTCTTCTAAGAGTTAGGATTCACTTCTCACAACAACCCTATGATGAAGTAGCTATGCTCACTATCCCAGTGCAGATGAGGAAGCTGAGATACACAGAGCTTTAGTGTCTTACACAAAAGCACACAGATAGAAGAGTTCAAAGTAGTGGTTGAACCCAGGCTGGTCGGCTTCAGTTTGTGTTCTTAGTCACGTACTCTAGTCCCTCCTAATTGAATCACCAGTATTCCCTACAGACATTGTTGTTAAGTGCTGTCAAGTCGGCTTAACTCATAACGACCTCGTATAGGTTTCTGAGGAGCAGCTGGTGGGTTTGAACAACTGACCTTGCAGTTCAAGCCAACCTTGCAGTCCCATGGTTATCCTACAGCACCACACAGACATTAGCTCATTTAAATAATTTCAGGGCAAGTGTTTTTATTCATGGAGTAACAGGAACTTGGCTCCTAACCTTACTCTTCAGAGGGTTTAGAGTTCTTGACCATATCCCAAGCACTGGGTCCACAGGCCAGCCCAACTCTTGATAATCTCACTGTATTTGCCTGTCCTTTTCACCACTGGACAAATGTCTATCTCCATCCCAGATTCTTTTCCTGGTCACTGGTCAGCTCAGTCTGTGGAGGTTCTGCCCTGGCCCTCAGGTCAGAGTCACCTCCATATGGCCACGTGCCTCCAGATGTGGGCACTTCTGGGACTGCGTCTCTTTCCCATGCTCATGATGCACTACGTTTCCAGGCATTTACGAGAGTGATGACATGAACGCCATCGTGGCTGAGATGGAAAAGGCTCTCAACTACTCCCAAAAGGTGAGCCTCTGTCCTGGTCCACTGATGTCGAGGCTTCAGGACGAAGCACTCATGTCCCCGAGCAGCACTGCGCTTATGGATGGCGTGGCTTCTTGGCCATCCTGAACGCATCAAGCACATTCCTAAACTCCCTCCAAGTCCAGGGGTCTTTGCACCCACTCTCTCTCCCGTCTTCTATTCCCATCCGAGGTCAGAAAAAGACTCTGGGCTGGAGAATGACATTTGGGCGGGTAGACAGAGAGATGGTGGGTGGCCATGGTCAAGTTAGGGAGGACTCCGGGAAGGAGACACATCCTACATCTCTTATTTTAAAAACAATGTTACAAGTTTTGTTGTTGTTGTTATTGTAACAATATAGAAGGACCCCTGGTGGTGCAGTGGTTAAGTGCTCAGCTGCTGACCAAAAGGTCAACAGTTGGAACCCACCAGCCTCTCATGGGAGAAAGATGTGACAGTCTGCTACTGTGCAGCTTTACAGCCTATAGATCGTATGAGTTCGCATCCACTCTACAGCAATGGATGTGGTAAAACACACTTACCATTTGAACCATCTTAAAGGAGCTCTGGTAGTGTAGTGGTTACGAATCAGGCTGTGAACCACAAGGTCAACAGTTCAAAACTACCAGCAGTTCCACGGGAGAAAGATGAGTTTTTCTGCTCCCGTAAAGATTTACAGCCTCGGAAACCCTGTACCAGGGTCGCTATGAGTCGGAACTGACTCCACGGCACATAACAACAACAACGAAAGTGTACGTTGTACAGCCACCCCCTCCTCCTCCCTTTGTAAGCACATCCCTTTGGGGTGAGGACACATCATCCCAGCTAGATGTGACTTCTCTGATGGGAGGGGGCACACCTCCGTGTCTTTTCCCTTCCCTGTAGGAGCTCCCTCCTTGCTTAGCTGTCCTCCCAGGGAGCTGCCATCAAACCCATTCCCTCATCTGATAAATACGTTCACAAGGTGTCAGTGAACAAGAATGGCTTGATCCACCCATCATAGGATGCTTATTTACATTTTAATGGTGTCTTCAAGTGTTTGAGAATACTTGGTTTGTTGTTAGTTGCCTGTCAGTTTCCATTCCTACTCCTGGAAAGTCCCGCTGCTACACAGGACTCTCCAGGCCTTTTGACAGCAGGTAGCCAGGCTTGCTTTCCGAGGTTCCTCTGGGGGGCTAGAGCAGTCAACCGTTTAGTTGGTAGTCCAGTGCCTAACCATTTGCACCTCCCAGAGATTGGGAATACTTATTGGAAAGCATTTCAGGCAATTGAGAAATCTGTAGGCAAAAGGCATCAAGTCAGCCTGGGCACGTGAAGTCCCACCAGGCTCCCTGGGCGCAATGTCTGCCAGGAAGAGCACAGATCCCTCTGGGTGCCAAGGAGGGCTCCGCTGCATCCTTAGCTATGAGCTTTAGGTTCCTCAACTGTAAAATAAGGACAGCAATAGCATTTACCTGGCTGGTGTAGCGGGCGTGCCTTCTTGGCAGAGGGTTTAAGAGCATCAGATCTTAGTTAGCCCAGCACTGGGATCGCACCCACCCTCTGTATGTGGTGGTTGGTGGGTTGGTTATGTGCCATGGAGTCATTTCCAACTCATAGTGACCCTGAACAGGGTTTCCAAGGCTGTAAGTGTTTATGGGAGCAGAAAGCCTCATCTTTCTCCAGCGGAACAGCTGGTAGTTTTGAACTGGTGACCCTAAAGTTAGCAGCCCGATTTGTAACCACAATGCTACCAGAGTTCCTTTCTGTACTTGGTAGCTATTATTTTTCCTAATAGGCTTTATCTGCAGTACTCTCAGCCCCAGGCCACGATCTAGAAGCAGAAAAAGGAGTCCAGTGATGCCAGAGGTCCTAGTCTCCCTGTCATGTGTGGATATGTGTGTGAGTGTAAGCGTGTCTGTATACATGTGTGGCTATGTACTTGTGAGCCAGTGCGCGTGTGTGTAAGCATGTGTGAATATGCATGTGTGTGTATGAGCATGAGTGTGTGTTTGTGGGTGTCTATGTCTGTCTGCCCACACAGTGGTCAGTACTGCTGCTAACTCTCCCCACCCCCATTGCAGTGTGCCTTACTTGTGGCCTCCGTGAAGAACCAGTGCAGAAAAGAACTGGAAAGTGCGGCTCTCCGTAAAGAAAAGTCAAAAACACTCAAGCAAAGAAGTCAGCCACAAAAGCTCCAGACTACCAAGCCCACAGCCCTCCCTGTGGCCAGAACGGTTTGACTCCCCTTGTGGATAACACGGAGAGGATTTTGTTTCTACTTTGTCTCCTGGTCTTTCCTAGCTCTCAGCGTGACTGGGGCCAAGGTCCCCGGGCACAGGGCCAGCAGGGCCAGCAGGGCCAGCAGGGCCAGGCAGGTTCTTCAGATTGCCTGCAGTCCTGATTTCCAGGGGAAGGGGACTCCCTCGAGGGCCTGCTTCCCAGCTTTGGGGGACCTCTGGCCTTCTCCCCTCCACCCACCTTTGGTTCTGCTTGGCTATCCCAGCTTTGCTTCCCAGTCCCATGCTAAGGGCCCCATGGCTTAGGCACCAGCCGTGCCATCTAGGGCCTCTCCCGTGTTCAGTGGCTTTCACTGCTGCTGCTCAGGACTAGAAGGGGCCTGATGGGAGCCAGAGCCTGAGGGGTGGGAGTGAGGGGCTATGAGGGGCTTATCCCCATTCACAGCCTGTCACATCTGCCCAGCCTGAAGTGCTCTCAGTAATCAGAAGTAGTCTCGAGAGCAATGCATCCCAACACTGTGGGAGCCTATGGGAAGACCACCGAATCAGCAGTGTTGTTGAGCTAAAGGAGTCCATCAGCATTTCACAGCAACTTTCTGAGTTTGGCAACCTCCCAGAGGCCGCTGTCCACACAGGCACTGCCCTCATTCCAAGAACTCCACCAGGTTGCGGCCACCGGCCCAGTCTTACTGCTCTCCCCTACCTTCCATACAGCTGTATGATGAGGCCTGAGAACCCCAGAGTTTATTTAGGGATTCCCAGGGGTCCTGAGCTGATTCCATATGAAGATCTTAGGCTGCACCAAAGCTTCCAATGGGTCCTCCTGAGACAGGGTCAAAGGGCCCCCTGAAAAACAGTGCCCATGCCTTTCTCCTGGCGCCTGGTCCAGAGGTGGGCTCTGAATTGCCTTGATGCCTGATAATGAAGGTGCTCCTCCCTTCAGACGGAGGTGCCCAGTGAGGCACAAAACTGCATGAATGGTTACTTGCCATGTTGGACAAGCATCTCTGGTGGGGCAAGGAGACAGGTAGCTGGTGAGGAAAGTATGAGCAAACCCTCTCGGCTGTCCTTGCACTCTCTAGGACTCTCTCTCTAAAGATTCTTCAGGATATTTTCTAGAACTCTCTCTAGAATGCTTTCTAGGACACTCTTCATAACACTCTCCAGGACCCTGTCTAGGATTTCTCTTCTCCACTCTCTATGACACTCTCTGGACTCCTGGTATAGCGCTGTTGGATCAGGACTGGACTACGAACCACAAGGTTGGCAGTTCAAATCCACCAGCTGTTCCTCATAAACCCTATATGGGGTCACTATGAGTTGGAACCGACTCAACGGCCCTTAACAACAACAATATGGCAATCTCTGGTGTGGCACTGTAGGATCAGCATTGAACTGTGAACCACAAAGTCAGCTGTTCAAACCCACCAGCTGCCACTCAGAAACCCTATACAGGGTTGTTATGAGTCAGATTTGACTCGACAGTTCTTAACAACAATAATATCACTCTACTGGTCTCTCTCGTTCTATCTCTCCCTCTGTCTCTCTCTCTCACACACACACACCATGCACTTTTTCACCTCAATGCCCAGAGTCCTCTCATCATCTTCTGCAAAGGTTCTGAACGGACAGATTGAGGCTGGGGTGACTGCTTACATCAGAGAGCAGGTCACTAATGGGAAAGACTGCCTGTTTTCTAGAACATTCAAGATGACTCTGACAGAGAGAGGAAGTGCCCCTTGAAAGCTCTGAAACGGCGTCCACTCAGTGGCAAAGCGGTCATCCCATCAGGTAAGGCACAGTCACGGTCAGACTAAAATGGGAGTAGGGGAAGGGGACAGGTACTGCTGAGGCAGACCCCAGCAGTGCCATGGTGAATCCCGTATCAATAATGAGAGTCCTAAAGATGATCAGTGATGGTGAATTTTGATCATGTCTTGGCCCTTGGGCTAAAATTGTTCCATTTAAAGCCTTCAACAATTCTATGCAGTAAGTACCCTATTAGCTTCCCGTTTTACCCATAAAGCAACAGAGGCTTAGAGGAGCTAAGGATAGCACACTGGTTGGTTGTGACGAGGCTGTAAGTATTTTTAGGAGCGTACTCTGCTCGTAAGATCTAAGACCGTTCATCTAATTTCTAATGGAAAAGGCACAGAATAATTTGGAGCATACTTCTGGGGTCAGCAAAAGCCAGGCTGGAATCTTGGCTCTTATTCTTACTCTCCGAGCCCCGCTTGGCTCATCTGTAAACTGAGAGGTTGGGGTAAACTTATGGAAAGCAGTTAGCACTATATATGGTAAATATCTTCATCCCTGTTGCAGCTGAGTGGACTCCAACCATGTGTGTCAGAGTGGAACTGTGCTCTCCGTAGGGTTTTCAATGGCTGACTTTTCAGAAGGACCACTGGGACTTCCTTCTAAGCACCCTGGATGGGCTCAAACCTTCAGCCTTTCAGTTAGCAGCCAAGCACATTAATCCTTTGTACCACCCCGGATCAGAACTTGGTAAATGGTAGTTCTAGCTATTGCTGATTCAGAACAGGTCAGGGCCCTGAGACTCCTCAAAACCACCTTGGAACATGATCTTCCAGAATAGACAGAGCTGAAGTTGAGAAGCCCCTAAGCTAGGAAAGACACTTTCACCACATGAGCCCCCAAGGCTGCTTCAGCTGACAAGCCAAATTTCCCTTAGCTCCAGCCCAGTCAGTGAAAGAATGGACAACAGAACAGAGGAAGAAAAAGAAGAAATCGTGGGAAGGAGAGTCATCTCTCTCACTGTTTTATATGGACACAGGGAATAATGTAGGTAAGTTAAGACATGGACCCCACACAAATATCTGGGCAGCCCCTCACCCTGTGGAAACTATGAGGTCAGAAAGATCCCTGGGAAGGAAATCGCTCTATTCCAAGACAGCAGGGTCTCCAGAGCAATTCCATCCTCAAACAATTCAGTTCCCATCTTGACACAGGCAAGAGAATGGCTCCATCCACAGGGATGGATTGGGAAGAGAGTGAAGATATCTCCTGTCAGCTGGCCTGATTTGCTCTTGTGAAGTGGTACCCATCCCAACAACTCATTGATGCTGGGGGAAAGAGAAGCCCTTCTCACAGCTCTCCACCTAAGAGCCTTCCTTTCTACCTCTCAGCACATTGCACCTAAGGAATTGTTCAGCTGGAAAACTGACTGGAAAAGAGAAAAGTGGGAGGAGGATTGGGCTTTAAGGTTCACAAGGTAACTTTACTCTGTTTCTCTAGGTTCAATGTACAAGAAGTACCCTCAGGGAAAGGGTGCATGGAGGACTAGGTCTTCTATTGAGTTGCCCAGAAAGAATACAATTTGTTCCAGCCGAGAGGTATTGTCTCCACCAGCACATGCCCTCTAGGCACTGATTCCAATTGCAAATCATTACTTGTAGGAGGGTGGGACTACACTGAAATGAAGACAAATTGGTTTAGCTGTTGTTGCTGTTGTTTTGGTGCCATCAAGTCGGTTCCAACTCATATGGATCCTATGCATAACAGAACAGAATATTGCCCAGTCCTGCACGACCCTGACAGTTGTTTTTACCCTTAAGCCCATTGCTACTGACCAAGTGCCAGTTGATCTCATTGGGGTCTTCCTCTTTTTCTCTAACCCTGCACTTTACCTAACATAACGTCCTTCTCCAGGGACAGGTCCCTCCTGAAAATATGTCCAAACTATGAGAGATGAAGCCATCCTGGCTTCTAAGGAGCATTCTGGTTACACTTCTTCAACACAGATTTGTTTGTTTTTCTGGCAGTCCATGGTACTTTTAATATTCTTCGCCAACACTCTAACTCAAATGGATCAATTCTTCTAGGTCTTCCTTATTCATTGTACAATTTTCACATGGCTTAGGTCAAGTGCACCATAGTCATCAAACTGATATCTTTGCTCTGGAACACTTAAAGAGGTCTTGTGCAGCAGATTTGCCTAGTGCATTACGTTGTTTGATTTCTTGACTTTTGCTTCCATGAAGGTTGATGGTGATTCAAAGCAAAATGAAGTCTTTGACAACTTCAGTCATGTCTCCATTTGTCACGTTATTTATTGATCCCGTTTTGAGGAGTTTTTTGGGTGTTTTTTTTTTCTTTCTTTCTTTGCGTTGAGATGCAATTCATACTGAAGGCTGTAACCTTTGGTCTTCATCAATAATTGTTTTAAGTCTTCTTTGCTTTAATCAGCAGGGTTGTATCATCTGCATATTGCAGGTTGTTGATGAGACTTCCTCCAATTCTGATGCCATATTCTCCTTCATATAATCCAGTTTCTCAGATTATTTGCTCAAAATTGAATAAATAGTATAAGAGTACCAACCTAATGCACACCTTTCCTGATTTTAAACCATTCTCACTATTCTGTCATTCTAACGACTGCCTCTTGGTCTAGCTATAGGTTCCTCATGAGCACAATAAAGTTCTGGAATGTCCATTCTCCTCAATGCTATCCATAGCTTGTCATGATCCACACAGTCTTTATTGCATGGTCAATAAAGCACAAATAAACATCTTACTGGTATTCTCTGCTTTCAGCCAAGATCCATATGACATCAGCAATTACATCATCCCTAGTTACGTGTTCTCTTCAGAATCTGGCTTGAGTTTCTTGCAGTTTCCTGCCATATTTGAATGATCTTCCACAAAATTTTACTTACATGTGATAGTAATGATGTTGTTTGATGACTTCCACGTTCCATTGCATCACCTCTCTTTGGAATGGGCACAAATATGGATCTCTTCAGAGCAGTTGGGCAGGTAGCTGTCTTCCAAATTTCTAGGCATACATAAGTGACAGCCTCCAGTCCTACATCAGTTTGTTGAAAGATTTCTATATGTATTCTGTTGTAAGGCCCCAACTGATTTTGCCTAGCTACTTGACCAAACTTTAGTCAGGCTTCAAGAAATCTCCCAAATAAACTAGGCTTTAGTTCCCTAGTTCCCACCAAGGACAAGGCCAGACTTCAAAACCTCAATATCAAAAAGAATCCTTGAGAAATTTTTAACAGTCAAACTGACCCAGGCCGTGATAATAGAATAGCTGCAAACACCTGTCAAGAAAACATCCTGTCCACACACTTACAATTAATTGTTCTATCCCATGCCAAAGCCAATTAACTCATAGATTAGAATGCTTGCTTCATGCCAAAACCAGTAGAAATATAGATTATGAATAAGTAACCAATCAGAAACCGTACACATGCTGTTGCACAAATCTGCCCCCTGAAACCCTATAAAAACTTATGTGTATAGTGAGTCAGGGTCGCCTTTGTCTCTTGTTTTAGGAGTCTGTGAAGGTGGACCCCAGCGCGTTGGAAATAAACCTCTTGCTATTGCATCGAACTCGAGTCCTGATGATCTTTTTTTGGGGTCTCCTACTGAATTAGGCCACAAAGGGGCCTAACACTGTCAATTCTGGAGTCTTAATTTTGGCTGATGCCTTCAGTGCACCTTGGACTTCTTTAAGTGTCATCCGTTATTGATCATCTGCTACATCTTAAAATGGTTGAACACTGTCATTTCTTTTTGTTGCAGTGACCTTGTGTATACCTCCCATTGTCTTTTGATGCTTTCTGCATCATTCAATATTTTGCCCATAGAATCCTTCAATATTGCAAAGTGAGACTTGAATTTTTTGCTTCAGTTCTTTCAGCTTGAGAAATGCTGAGCATGTGCTTCCTTTTTAGTTTTCTAACTCCAGGTCTTTGCACCTTTCATCATAATACTTGATTTTGTCTTTTTGAGCTGCACTTTAAAATTTTCTGTTCAACTCTTTAACCTCTTCATTTCTTCCATTTGCTTTAGCATCCGTACGCTGGAGAGCAAGGTTCAGAATCTCTTCTGACATCCATTTTGATCTTTTCCTTCTTCCTTGTCTTCTTAATGACTTCTGCTTTCTTCCTGTCTGATGTTCTTGAAGACATCCCGCAGCTCCTCTGGTCTTCAGTCATTAGTGTCTAATGCATCAAATCTGTTCTTGAGCTGATCTCTAAATTCAGGTGGGGTATGTTCAAAGTCATATTTTGGCTTTTGTGGACTTGTTTTCATTGTCCTCAGCTGCAGCGTGAACTTGCATATGAATTGCTGGTCTGTTCCACAATCTGTCCCTGGCCTTATTTTGTTTGATGATATTGAACTTTCCCACCTTTTCTTCCCACAGATGCAGTCAATCTGATTTCCGTATATTCCATCTGGTGAAGTCCATGTGTATGTTTTATGTTGTTTAAAAAAGATATTTTCAGTGAAGACTCATTGGTCTTTCAAAATTCTATCATGTGATCTCCAGCATCATTTCCATCACCAAAGCTTTATTTTCCAACTACTGACCCTTCCTCTTTGTTCCCAACCTTTGCATTCCAATCACCAGTAATTATCAATACATCATGATTACATGTTTGATCAATTTCAGACTGAAGAAGTTGGTAGCATATTTCAATTTCACCATCATTGGCTTAAGTGGTTAGTGTGTAATAGTGGTGTTAACTGGTCTTCCTTGTTGTTGTTAAGTGCCTTCAAGTCAGTTCCACCTCATAGCAACCCTGTATAAGGTTTCCCAGAAGTGGCTAGCAGGTTTGAAGTGCTGACCTTGTTGTTCAAGCTAACCACAACCTTGACCTCAGGGTTCAAATGAACCCTGTGGTCTAGTGCATTATCCTGCACTGCCACACTAGGTCTTCCTTGTAGGCATATATGGATAGTATCCTGCCACAGATAGCATTGTACGTCAGGATAGATCTTGAAATGCTCTCTTTGGATGATGACTGCTATGCCATTCCTCTTGAATTTGTCATTCCATATGATTGTCAGATTCAAAATGGCCAATGCCAATCCACTCCAATTTATGAATGCGTAAGGTACCAATCTTTATGCGTTCCATTTCCTCTTTGACAACTTCTGATTCTCCTAGATGCATACACTCCATGTTCTGATTCTTAATGGATGTTTGCATCTGTTTCTCCCTATTTTGTGTTGTGCCCCATCAGCAAATGAAGGTCCTGAAAGCTATACTCCATTCATGTTATCATGGTCAACTCTACTTTGAGGAGGCAGTATATTTTCAGTGTGCCAGTCAGTTTGTTGTGCTGTTGTGGCTTGCACATTGCTGTGATGCTGGACATACTTTAAATACCAGCAGGGTCACCCATAGTGGAGGGGTTTTCGTGAAGCTTCCAGACTATGTCAGACAAGGTAGGAAGAGAGACGGACTACTTCGGAATATTTAGCCTCCGAAAGCCTTATGAATTAGCAGTAGAATTTTGTCAGATATTGTGCCAGAAGATGAAAAATTTTGAGTTGTTGTTGTTAAATGCTGTCAAGTCAGTTCTGACTCATAGTGACCAAAGGGTTTCCAAAGAGCAGCTGATGGGTTTGAACCGGTGACTTTGTGACCATTGTGCCCAGTGCTCGCACTACAGTGTCACAACAGTATAGCACCTGAATATTGTCACATAGAGTGATGGAGGATGAGCCCCTCAGGCAATGACACGTAATGTGAAGACAGGCTGTGGCTTGAATGGTCTCTTCCTCACTCAGTGACCATTCACAAGTCATTTTGCAATTCTCAGTGTCATTGTTCTTGTTTGTAAAATAAGGATAATTAGGAGTCCTGGTGTGGCACTGTAGAATAAGCACTGGACTGCTAACCATAAGATCAGCAGTTCAAACCCACCACCCACTTCTAAGAATCCCTATAGAGGGTCACTATGAGTTGAACTGACTCAACGACACTTCACAATAATAAGATTAACGTAAGGATTCATTGAAGTGTGTCATGTACAAAGTACACTTAGTGGTGTCAGGTGCTTTTCTTTGCAAGCTGTAGAAATCCTCTGCCTTGTTCATATCCACAAGATAGAACAGCTTTCTTCTCACAAGCATCCAGTCAGAGTCTGAAAGCCATGCTCTGGTTGGTTTGGCTGATTGATTCAGGCATGCCCATTCTTGTCTTCCTCACTGGAGCAAGAAGGCTGAAATTGTTCTGAATAGTTTAAAGTCTGAACTTCAGACCAGTCAGGGATTTTCACCCAGATTTTGTGGAGGAGGGTGGTAATGGTTGTTGTAGAAACAATAATGCTCATGGACTAGGGAGTATAGGTGTTCCCTGAATTATGTTTCCGGTGCCCATATTTTTTGTGCATCTTTCCCCAGGGTCAGGGGTGAAATCTGCATGAAAGTTTGCTTAGTGAGGACCTGAGAACCCACAGACCAACCATCTGAGATCGAGTTCAAATATGAGGTTTACAGAGAGCGAGATCTCAGTCAGTTAATTCTGATTTATGTCAGATCCTTGCGCTGAATTTTCACATTCAAAGCAACCACACCCATTGCTGTCGAGCCTTCGGATTCATACTGACATTATGCTTTTCTGCAGAGCAGCTGGTGGGTTAGAACCACTGACCTTTTGATTAGCAACAGATCGCTTTAACCTTTGTGCCACCAGGGTTACTCCTATGAGTTAATTTCATTAATTCTCCTTTGTGTTAAAGTGGGTAGCCAATTATGGACTCAGAAAGCTGAAGATGGACATCTCCAGATACATTGGTCCCAGGTGCACTCACCAGAAGTCAGTGCGGGGCTCAGCATCAGCCAACCACTGCAGCGTCTTCCCCAGTGTGGAGATCAACGTAAGACATCGCAGTTGTTCTTCTTCCCTCAAGTCCTGCCTCTTTTCAGCTGTAAATTACTTAGCATAGTATGTTGTAGAAAATTCCATGTAGCTGTGTGACCCCCTGGCTCCTCTTCCTGCTCTTAAGATGTCCCCACCTTCCCCTCTAAAGTGGGATACCAACTCAGGATAGGAGATGCAGAATCCTGTTGGAAGAAAAGCCAGCTCATTGTGCATGAGACGAGTGTTCCAGGGTAGGAGGAGGTCATAGGGCAGTGGCTGAGGTTGTCACCAATAAGAACCCTAATCCCCCACTATTGCCCTAGTTATTGTCTTGGATTAAATTGTGTCCCCCACAAAATGTGTGTCATCTTGGCTGGGCCATAATGCTCAGTGGTTTGGCAGTTATGTAATGATCCGACATGATGTGATCTGATGGGATCAACCGACAAAAGGATTAAGGGTGGGATTGGTTGCTGTTGTTGTTAAGTGCCAACAAATCTGGTTCTGACTTACAGTGACCCTGTGGAAGGTTGCTGAGAAGCTGCTGATGGTTTGAACCACTGGACCTTGTGGTTAGCAGTCCAGTGCTTATCCTACCAGAGCTCCAAGAGTGGGATATACCACCCTTAACCCCATCACATCCTTGATTTGATATAAAGGAGTTTCCCAGGGCTGCAAAGACTTTTATCTTACAAGAGCTAAAAGGAGAGAGAAGTGATCTGGTAGTGGGGGTAGAGTGTGTATGTGTGAGTGGCTGTCACCACTAAGAAAGAGACTGGAGTGGACATTGTCCTTTAGACCTGGGCTCCTTGTGCTGTGAAGTTCCTAAATGCAGAGGAAGACGGATGCCAAGACACATGGAGATTTCCAAGGATGCTGAAGGAGAGAAGGCCCTTTCTGCAGAGCTGCACTCTGAATTTGGACTTCTAACGTCCTAAACTGATGTGGCACTATAGGATAAGCACTGAGCTGCTAGCCAAAAGATTAGCTGATCAAACCCACCAGCTGCTCCTCAGAAACTCTCTACAGAGTCACTATGAGTCAGAACCAACTCAACGGTACTTGACAACAACAACAACAAATTATGAGGGAATACATTTCTGTCCGCTGCAGGCTTCACTGGTGCTGAGAACTAAGACATTAAGTATCAGGACAATGAAAGGCCTGTGATGGGTGGGGAAGACAAGGGCAAGAGGATGAGTATTCTCGCTGTTATTTCTTTTTTTAAGGTAATGTTTTCCTTTGCTTTGACCATGGAACAAGTACCTTTAGAACAAAATGAAGAACTAACCAGGCTCTTTTTAAAACACCCACTTTTGCTCCTTGCCCCTTTTATACACATTATCGACATTAGGAGCAATTGCAAAGCTAAAAGTAGCCACCAAAATTGAACTATCTGCAACAAACTTGCCCTCTCTCTATCCAAAGCAATATTCGAGTTTGAAATTTTATAAACTTCACACCACCATGGAGTTTGGCACTAAGGGTTTTCTATCCTATACAGGTTGCTATGGGTTGAAACTGAATCTACCACACTTAATAACAAAAACAGCAATTTTAAATTTGGAGATAAAATGCTTTTATTATGACAGTGACCACATTTACCATAAGGCCATTGTCTTGGGTTGGGTTCTCTAGAGAAGCAAAACCAGTGAAATTTATGTATGTATATATAAAGAGACATTTATGTCAAGGAATTGGCTTACAATTGTGGAGGCCCAGGTCCCCAGAGGAAAGGAGTGCAAGCTTTTTTTGCATGTCCATTGTATTGGGAGCAGTCAACACTCCCGAGCAGTCATCTGATTGGCTATTCCTAGCCAATCATCGTAGAGTTAACTCTGCCTGTTCATAGTCTATCCTCATGGAGTTAACTCTGCCTGATCATAGCCAATCATCGTAGAGTTAACTCTGCCTGCTCTTAGCCAGTCATTGTAGAGTTAACTCTGCCTGTATTAGATCTCACCATGGGGATAACCTCATCTCAACTACCAAACCACTGGACATCCTGGCTCAGTCAAGTTGACACAGAACCTTCACTAGCCCAGCTATCATTCCCACACCACACTCCTTAGAATCATAAATTCTGGTAGTTTAATAGAAGGGATTTTTTTTCAAAATTTACTAAATGTTATTTTAAAAAGCATGCTTGGTAGATGTTTTGGAAATTATTAATGCCCAGTGGAATAAGCTGTTCAGGTTGTTGATGTGTGTCTTAGTTCTCTAGTGGTACTACAACAGAAATGCGACAGGGTTAAATGACTTTAACAAGCAGAAACGGATTCTCTCACAGTTTCGGAAGCTAGAAGTCCACACTCAGAGCCCTGCTCTGGAGAAAGGTCCCGGTCTCCTCTCAGCATCTGTAGACCCAGCGTTCCTTGGAGCTCTCCATGGTCTTGGCATCAATCTTCCCCTGGATCTGGGAGCTTTGCAGAGCAGGGACCCCCGGTCCAAAGAACACTCCATTCCCAGCTCATCTTTCTTGTTCGTAGTAGGTCCTTCCTTCTCTTTCCTTTGATCTCTTATAAGATAAATGTGTTGCAAGTCATACCCTAGGAAACTCTTACATCGGATCAGAGTTGTGATAGAATTAAGGGTGTTGCAGCCCACCCTTAATCCTCGTATTGATTTATCACATCAGATCACATCATGGGAGATCATCACATAACTGCCCAAACTCCTGAGATTTATATAGCCCAGTCAAGTTGACACATGTTTTGGAGGGACACAATTCAATTCATGAAAATGGGGTATGGAGCAATCTTTGGAAGGAGAGGGGATGAGGATTTGTCTTTATTTACCTTATTGCAGGGACTGGTAAGGCATCTTCAGTGTACTCTCTGGGAAATAGAAGTATACATCACATGCATGGAGAAGGTGGTGAGGCGCTATGTCCAGAGGCTGCAGTGGCTGTTGTCTGGTAAGTAGAAAGGCATATGGAACCTCCGGCCAGGGAATCAGGAGCTGTGAGGTCAGGGAATTAAGTCAGGATGACCATTCAGGTACAACATGGCTTAGGGATGCAGAGGTCAAGCCAGGTGCTGTTTTGTTGAGGTGGTACACTACAGAGAACACACATCAAGTCTGCCTTCCTGGATGTGACTTAGGCAATAACCTTCTGGAGACTTCCATGAAGGTAGAGATAGTGAGGGGATTCTGACAGAGGAGGGAAGCCTTTTTCCTTACAAATAGCACCAAGACCTCTTCAGGAGGGGTGAATGGCCAGACTGAGGAGAATCGAGCTAACACCCAGAGAAGCATAGGCTGGGCATTGAGAGATGATCTAAAGCACCCAATCCAAGAACTGGACAGAGCATTTAGGCTTTGGGGCTTGAATGGGTATCCCGGGCAAAAGGAAGAAGGAGAAAGTCTTACAGAGAGCCTGCAGGTGGCCCTGTGCAAATCCAGTAGGCCCAGTTTCCTTCACTAGAAGCTGGTCTCCACAGTCCTCACTACAGCTTTCCAGAAACCTCTGGAGAGGCTGTGGGTGTGGTCAAGTCAGAGCTTGCCTGTCCTCCCCCCACTCCCAATTTACCATCACAAAGAGTGTGAAAACAAGAGATTCATCTACTACACTTGGGTAGGAAATCTCTACAAACACATTCTCTAACTCTTTGAAACTCACCAGGAGATGCTTCACTGATACACTGTTCAAATCCGTGTAGGAAAGGTGGCAAGAGGCAAAAAGCAACATGGTCCCTGAGCTCATGGAGCAGATGGTCTAGGCAGAGATCGGTGCTGGCCAAAGAGTCTCAACATGTCTAAAATTGCAACAGTGACATGTGGAAGGAAGCAAGGGTCATAGTGCAGAGGAAGCCTGTAAGAGGGGCAGTTGGCCTGGATTGAAAGGTCAAAGATGGCTTCCCTGTGGAGGCGATAGCTGAACTGAGGTCTGAAGACTCAATGTTGTTTCTGTTAGGTGCCATCGAGTCAGTACCGACTCATAGAGACCTTATGCACAGCAGAACAAAACACTGCCCAATCCTGGGCCAACCTCACTACTGTTGCCATGCTTGAGTCCATTGATGCTGCCACTTGGCCAATCCATCTCATTGGGGGTCTTCCTCTTTTTCTCTGACCCTCCACCTTACCAAACATGATATCCTTCTCCAGCGACTACTCCCTCCTGACAATATGTCCTAAGTAAGAGAGACGAGTTTGGCCATCCTGGCCTCCAAGGAGCACTCGTTGTTGTTGTTGTTGTTGTTAAGTGCCATTGAGTTGGTTCCGATCCATAGCAACCCTGTATAAGGTGTCTAAGGAGTGACTGGTGAGCTTGAACCGCCGACCTTGCAGTTCAAACAGCTTTGCAGTCTGGCGCATTAACCCACAGCGCCACACCTTAGTGCTGACTGAATAGGTGCTGACTAAACAGAGAGAGGAAAGAGGTCTGGGCCCTGAGCTGGAGAGAACCCGGGGAGTAGGAAGGACAGAAAAGAAACCAGTGTGACTGAGAATGAGGGACAACAGCTGCAAGACCATCCTAGAGAGATGATGCTCAAACTCTCTACTTGATCTTAAGAGCAATGGGAAGCCATCTCTATTAAAAGGTTTTAAATAAAGGAAAAGTAGGCTACTTTGGTTGTTTAAAAGATTACGTATTCCTGCATAGGTGTTTTTTCCCCTTGTTGTACATAAAAAAAAAATAAGAAGAAGAAGAGGGAGGTTTTCTTGATAAAATAAACAATTTATGATGATGATAAGGGCAGGAGGAAATGATCCATGCACTAGAGAGTAGACACACATTGACATGGGTGACAGGGCAGGTAATATACAACCAGAGGGCTGTTGGCAGAGAAAAAGTGGGTGTGGCAGGAGACACAGGGAGGAATGTAGTGGTTAAAGTGAATAGAGGTAAATGCTGTTAACAGATAGTGCATGGAGGGGATTGCAACCATGCAGTGAAGGAAAGTCTATGATGTGTTGAATGTAAAACTGATGATCTGCTCTGTAAGCAAGCCTTCACTCAATTCACAAGAAATAAATAAAAGGGAAAGTGGGCTGTATCATCAAATTAGCATTTGTAATAATCCCTCAGGTTGCTGAGAGGTTGAAGTGGACTCCCCATGACCTAGTAGTGGTCTGGGAAAAGATAGAAGCTGGAAAAGGACAACATTGATCTTGAAGAAGGACAAAGTGGGTAGAAGTTTGCAACTCTTCC